GGGAGCCAGCTCCCTGCCCCTCTCCGAGCTTCCCTGGGAGATCCTGCGCTTGCCCCGGGCGCGGGGCCGAGGGATATCCCAGTCTCGCTTCTCCGAAATCTAATGAAGACGGCACTGTGGCTGAAAACCGGACCACATCGTGGCCCCACTCCTCGGGGGCATCTTCCCAGGCTCCGCACTTGGGCCAATGGGAGAGGCAAACTCTGAGACCTGCCTGGGGCTCGGTAGGCTGCAGTCCAGGCACTCAGGGCTACAACTGAGAAAGGAATCGTGGGGAGAAGAGATGCTCAAGCAGGCAGTGTGCCCACTGGTCAGGCAAGTTACGGGACAGAGTGGAGCGCGTCCAGAGGAGACAAAGTTAGTTTTGGCCGAGAGGAAAATAACTCTACCAGAAACCACAGGGTGTCCTGCCCAGCAAGGAAAAAATACTGCTTTTTGCAGGGCACATGGGTGGGGTGATTGTCCAGCCTCGGACTTATGCTAGAAAGGAGATGACCCGCTCCCCTCCCCCCGGGAAAGAATGACCCCATTTCCTCTGGAAAAGCTTTCCTCACCACCCTAGCCCCCAATGTGTGCTCCTTCTAACTCCTACCATAGGCCTTTTTTTTTATTTGTTTAACATTTGCTTCTTGTAGTAAGCAAAATATTTTCCAATATAAATAAAAGTGAGCCTCCTGTCGAAAAACTAAAGTACTGAGTGCTGGAGTATGGGTCTGATTTCTTCGCCTTTTCTCCAGCACCACGCTCTTGTGAAGCGGGGCAGAAGCCCCATCTAGGCCACTGTCTTCTGAGTTTTGGTCTCAGACTGAGCCACTGCAATTTTAGACAAATGGGCCTGAGGCTCTGATAGCCTGCTATGTCCATCTTCGCGACAGGGAGCTAGCTGTCTGGCAGACAAACGCATCATCTCAACAGGGTAACTTTTATTCCTGATAATGCCGAGCTTGCCAGTTTGTAACTTTCTAACTTCCCCTTCTCTCAGCCTGATTACCTACCTTCTGTTTAAAACATTTTTCTCAATAGT